AAAAAAAACAATAAAGTTTTATGTATACAAATATTACACGTTTTTTGTTTTTCTTTTCATATATATAGTTGAATTAGAAAATTAATCTTGCTTTTAAAAGATTTGATTATATTGTTGAATTTTTAATTTTGATTGTAATAAAATATTTATATTTAACTTTATTGATAAATATTGTCGTGTGACATGTCTGGATTGGAAACAATAAAGGACTTCTTTTCAAAATAATAAAAAATAATGTGGATAAAATAAAATAAAAAAGTAAAAGAACTATGTATTTTACCTACCTACCACATTGAGTCTTTTAACCCCCTAATTTTATCAAGTTTTTAATCTTATGTCATATTATGATAAATTATCACACTTGTTAGTCGTCAGTATTAACATATAACGTTGTTAATCAAAGTAAAACTCAACTGGTTTAGACACCTATTTTCGACCTAAATATATTGAGTTCTTTGAATCTCCACCGCTATTTGTTATACTAAAACAAATATTAACATATCATGTTGTTTAATGTGATAATATGGATGACAAAGACTAATTAGAATCATCATTAAAAATGTAATTGAAACTTTTCAAAGATAAAAAAATTAAATAAAACTCCTAAAAAGGAAAAGAAGATCGTTCACAATTTAAAAAATTTCAAGGAGTTAATTTTTAATTTAACCTTAATTAATTAGTATAAGTAAATATAATAAGTAATTAATCTAGGATTATTTTTTAATAAATAATTTAAATTGACCTCATAATTTGAACATTCATTTTTTTTTTTAAATCTGGTCTTACAAAATTAATTAATTACAATTAACAATTAAATAATATGTTAATCATTTTTCTGCTAGTGTCCACTGTCCATCCATTTTTTAGTGACAAAATAAAATCTCTTTTTTCCTTGCTTTAATCAAAACATAGTTAAATTCGTCGAAGCGAGTACAGCTTAATGATAATTGAAATAGCTTTTTAACTAAGAGGTTGTGAGTTCAATCTCTCACTCTCACATGTTGCCAGTTTTTCACCCATTTAAAAAAAGAATTAAGTGGAATTTTCCTTTCTTTTAAGGAATTAGTGGAAACTAAAGCATACATATTTAATATTAAAAATTTAAAATGCATTTAGTTTTTTTTGTTAATAAAGTGCATTTAATTATACCATTATGAATATGATGTACATCTATTAAGTTTAACGATAAGGCCGGATAGAGATTTGAATCTAAAATTACATGTCTTAGCTGGTTGAGAGTTGAATTTACTTAATACAAAATTAAGTTACTTTAATTATAGTTGATTATTAAATGAACACAATAATATATTGCATAATTGAATAGCATTGTTTTTCTATTCCTACATTAAAGCAACATTTTAATCTATCCATTAATAATTTAAAAGAAATTCCGAATATCCCATAATTGATATCCAATCAATCAACAGAAGTCTGTGAATGGCCTTGTCCTCGACGAAGCCAGCTGGATTCGCCGGACGCATTTTCCGCGAAAAATCCAAATCGAATTTGATTTCCACGTCTGACAAAAAAAGTAAAAAACAATTTTCGAGGAATCTTCGGTTTACTGGTCAGCCACGTAAGTGGAATCCGCGTCTATCCTCTCGGCTCTCCCACTGTTCAATCCCATATACCATTTTATTCCCT